GCTAATGTCTGAAAAAGGTTTATTTTTGCTTTGCTCTATTTTTCTCTCTCTGTGTAAGTATTCCCCACTGACATGGGGAAAATCATTCTTTTGAGAAAATATACTGCAATATGATAAATGTTTTCAGAGTGAATTTTTTTGGAAACCAGAAACAAAAACACTTCCAACATGGAAACTGTTTGACGTCAGTGAGTGAATTCTGTTAGGTTACAGACTTTTTTTTTCACTTCTACATTTAAATTGCTTAGATCCTTGTGCCATGGATCAGTGGCTGTTTTAATAGGCAGTGTTCTCTGAAGTAGCTAGTTTTCTCACGTTTTTAGGATGGAGCTGACTACCAGACATGGTGAACTTGTGACCCATGGCTGACACTGGGGTGTCCCCTCCTCCTTTCACTCGCACACAGTCGTTAGTGCTTGTAGTCATTTGGTAAGTGTGAAGTTCCCCTTTGGTTAGTGGGTGGGACTCTGGCACCCAACATCTTAAGAAAGCTGAACATACAATCTAAATACCCTTTTGACTAGCACTTGACCTCTCAGAAGTTAACCAGGAGCCACATATAACTCCTGATCTCAACAGACTTTTACCGCATGCTAGCTGAAACATACCTCTTTGTAAACCTCAGCTTGTGATGAGCTGCCCAGAGACGAGGAAGTGAGACTGAGCTCTATGTGATCTGCCTGCCTTCCTCCTTCTCAGGATGGACTCCAGGAAGGGATTGCCATGGACAGGCCAAAACAAGAGTCGCCATTACTGCTTTTGTTTCTCGTCATCTGCCTATTTAAAGATCCCCTTGACATGAATTGCCATTTTTGGATAGAAAACAAAAATTGTATTTCCATTTGCAACCACAAGACATGGTGGTTTGAAAGCACAGGTGTGTGCCAGATCACGTGAATGCACAAGTGCAGTAACTGTGCAGTTGACAATTAAAATTCTGTCACCCATCAAACTGTTGTTGTTTTTTTTGTTTTTCTTACATCAGTGTGTGATGCACACTGATCCAGACTCTTAGTATTTGTGTCCCCTATCTGATCAGAGGTGCTGTTCGGAGATGACCTTTCATGTGGACGGGTACATGCAATCAAGCACCGTCCATAAAACCTTTAACAACATACAATATGTTCATAGGTCCAAAATAGATTTGTGAATAATCACCAACTCGGTTTGACACTTCACAATGTACCTGATTAGTATAGCAGTCCAAATAACAAGAACTTGTCACTTCCTAGACCTTTGACCACGCCATCAGCAGGCCTGTTGTAAACCCTGATTCTGTACCTAAAGCCATGTCACAGTGTTGAAATACCTTTGTGTGACCCCACGTTTAACCCCCTCAGCGCAGGCACAATCACACCTGACTTGGTGATGGGGGTAAAAAAAGGCTCTTGTTCACCTCGAACTTAAGGGAAAGAAAGCGAGGAAATTTGATCCTGCATATCTAGCATATTTACTGGCCAGAAGAGGTGTTGGCTCTGAATTCCACCTAGGCCCTCCGTTTCCTAGTGGGTAGAGCCAGACAATCATGATTATGGTGTGCTCCATAGTGGAGCACACATGCAATACCACCTCCAAGACTAGGCTTCACATGGCAGATGCAGTGCTGTCAAATGAGGATGTCCTTTGGCCTGCAGCTGCAAGTGACGGACGGCGCTGCAGTGAGGGGCGCTTCCCAAATCGAATCCACAATGTGAAACTTTACTAAACAGCGGGCCCCTTTCACCCTTGGGGCCCATATGCACTTCATACATTAGGGACACGCAAGTGCTAACCCATGAAATATCTTAAGGGTCCCTATCTTACAATCATTTAGATCAGGTCATGTTCGCTGTAACTCTTATATATGGAGAAAATTGTACCACTTAAAGGTTATTGTGTCGGTATCCTCCAGTATTTGTGCATATGTCAAAACGATCACAACAGATGGGGAAAAAACAACTTGCACAAAAAGCTGATTTGTTTGACTGGAATTCTTGGTTCAGCACGAACTGCTGACTTCTGGCAGGAAAACGCAACTCCATGTTTAAAGACTGTGGCCTGTGGCATAAAGTCACAAAATAATGTGTGTATGTCACACTGCACTCATAATGCAACTTTTAAAGTGATGTGACTAAACGGCAGTCATACCCTTGTGGTATAAGTGGATGTAAATAATGGACATCATGCACACCATCATTTGTGGGGACTCTCCAGCATACTGGAAAGGCTCTTTGGGGTAATTCTACATAAATCCTTTTTTTCTGCATGATGCATTACATGATTCAGTAATTGTGGTGCACACCAGTTATTTTGAATACTGTTTGATTGTAAAACCTCCTGCAAGTTCTGCCCCTTTATTAGAAAGAAAGATAGTTTATTAGTTTCATCTAATTTCCGCAATCTGATCTGTATTGTAGCTTCATAGCAAAAAGGGAGAACTAGTTTTTGGAAAATGAGCTTTGCAAAGCTAAGCAGCCCAGTGACCTGAGATAAAGTTAGCTTGATCAGCTGTTTTTTGGTCAGAATGGATATCCTAATGTCTTTGGAGGAAGACAGAATCCTGTTAACAAGGGGAACATTGATCTGGTGGGTTAGAAAACCTGACTGTTGCTCCGCTGAGCTATGATAGCATCTTCCATCACTATGCTCCCCCTCTTATTGGTCTCTGTATTAGAAAAATGGCATAAGATAATTGTCTGCATGTCTGGCCTACCTCTGATATCTTTGTGCAGCCTTAGTTCATTCTTCACTTGTTACCTTTAGTACTTGAAACAGAAACAATGAACTGATAATGCACTTAAAGGAGAATTATGGGGTGAGTGAAAAACACTCATTCCCATCATTCAAACACTGAAGCTATCACAGGTCGGCTCTATTTATTGGGAAGTCAGCGAACGCATACTGCTGATTTTCCCAATCCTCTCCTTGTAGAGAGTAGAGAGCAATGACTATCAGTCACCGCTCCCCGCAGGGATTCCCCCCTCCCCTGTCCATTTCTCCAGCGCTGACTGGGACCGCACTGCTGGCTCTGCCTCTAGAGAGGCAGAGCCAGCTGTCAATCAGCCAGCAGGGTGGATCTCGACAATATTGTCGGGATCTGTTCTGGCTGCGGTGCGGCTCTGTACTTTCAGCATATAGTGGACAATAGAGCGCTATATACTGAGTTTTGGGTCACCCGAGGACATTAGTACAAGTCCTCCTGTGACACTGGAGAGAGCTATGGCCAAAAAAGGTTAGGCAGGTAATGCATATTTACTTTATTTAGATGCCAAACCTCTTTTAAAAGACATTGTAGTCAACAGACAAAATATGTAAGTATATTAAAGAAATGTCAATTGTCTAAACTTTCCTCAAATCCCAAATGTATTTAGGGGAATTTATTGAGGGCCAGTTCACACCATATGCAGTTGTGATGCAGTCCGTTTATTTTGACTGCTGCAGTCAAAATACATCACAATGCTTTCCTATTGGCTTTCTTGTGCTTTATCACACCATTGCAGTGTGAATAAAGCACAAGAAAGCCAATAGGAAAGCATTGTGATGTATTTTGACTGCAGCAGTCAAAATAAACGGACTGCATCACAACTGCATATGGTGTGAACTGGCCCCTTAAGACTGGAGCTAAAGATAGAAGCTAATTTGTTACTATGCTCCAGTTGTAGTAAATTCATTAATTGTTTCAGTTGTAAGTACCATGCATTAGCTCAAAGCATGCTGGTAATTCTACTTAAAAAAAATTCTAAGCAAAACTTTTGTGTTTTTTTTTTTTTGACAGATATGTCAACATCTTCTTTTGAGAACTTTATCCACAATTATACAGAGTTACCGGGAGAGTAACACCAGAAACCTCACACTCACACACTTCCCCTTAACATAACAGGATTTGCACACAGCATTACATATTTAGGTGATTGTTAACATTGGCTTGGGTTACAAAGTTGCTTTATAGTGATCTTTTCAGAGTTATCTATTTCAAGCATACTTTTTGCTTGAAAAAAAGAATGACATTCTATCAGTTTAATCTGCTTTGGGCCCCCCTAAATAAAGATTACCCATTTTCTACATTGTGTCACAATGTAGATCATCTACAATATTCAGTAATCTCCCTCTTCTCTCCTCTCCCCTTCTCTTCCTCTTCTCTCCTCTCCCTCTTCTCTCCCTCCTCTTCCCTCCCTCCTCTTCTCTCCCCTCTCTCCTCTCCCGCTTCTCTCCCTCTTCGCTTCTCTCCCTCTTCGCTTCTCTCCCTCTTCGCTTCTCTCCCTCTTCGCTTCTCTCCCTCTTCGCTTCTCTCCCTCTTCGCTTCTCTCCCTCTTCGCTTCTCTCCCTCTTCGCTTCTCTCCCTCTTCGCTTCTCTCCCTCTTCGCTTCTCTCCCTCTTCTCCTCACCTCTCCCTCTTCTCCTCACCTCTCCCTCTTCTCCTCACCTCTCCCTCTTCTCCTCTCCTCTCCCTCTTCTCCTCTCCCTCTTCTTCCCTCCCTCCTCTTCCCTCCCTCCTCTTCTCTCCTCTCCCGCTTCTCTCCCTCTTCGCTTCTCTCCCGCTTCTCTCCCTCTTCGCTTCTCTCTCGCTTCTCTCCCGCTTCTCTCCCTCTTCGCTTCTCTCCCTCTTCGCTTCTCTCCCTCTTCGCTTCTCTCCCTCTTCGCTTCTCTCCCTCTTCGCTTCTCTCCCTCTTCGCTTCTCTCCCTCTTCGCTTCTCTCCCTCTTCGCTTCTCTCCCTCTTCGCTTCTCTCCCTCTTCGCTTCTCTCCCTCTTCGCTTCTCTCCCTCTTCGCTTCTCTCCCTCTTCGCTTCTCTCCCTCTTCGCTTCTCTCCCTCTTCGCTTCTCTCCCTCTTCGCTTCTCTCCCTCTTCGCTTCTCTCCCTCTTCGCTTCTCTCCCTCTTCTCCTCACCTCTCCCTCTTCTCCTCACCTCTCCCTCTTCTTCTCTCCTCTCCCTCTTCTCCTCTCCTCTCCCTGACTGGAGGAACGGACAGGGGAGGGGGCGGGTACAGCTGGCTCTGCCTTTAGATAGGCAGAGGCAGCTGGGCGGATCCCGGCATAATTGTCGGGATCCGCTTCAACTGCGGCGTCTCAGCGGTATACTGCGGCATCTCAGTATACCGCGAGCTACAGCTCGCGGTATACTGAGCCTAGGGTGACGGGAGGACGCTAGTTTGTGTCCTCCCGTTACCCTAAGGAGAACTATGGGGAAAAGCCTTAACCCCATAGTTCTCCTTTAAGCTGGGTGTCGCTGGAGCCATAGCTTACACAGAGCTATGGACTTCCTTTTTCTATGTGACAGTGCTGATTGGTCCAGTTTTGTCTCCATTGAGTCACATGCTCTCCATACCTGGGCATTTCCTTCAACTGCTGGCTCTAAAATGTGGGGTGGGGGAGTGAGGGGAAAGTGAGTATATGCTTGAAGGGGGTGTTTAGGCAGGCTTATCTATGCTCTGAATGGGCCAAACACAAATTTGCTTTAAGCCTTTTTTTATGTATGAATTTTTAATCAGCTTAATTTAAATATTCACATTATCATCTTTAAAAATATAAACTGATTTCATGTGCGGGCCTCTGTTTTTTGTAGCAAAACAAAATGACAAGAGTGCATGCACATGACTAATTGAAAGGGTTCCTTACATGATGGTGGTAGGGTCTGGGGGTCTTGCGGTCTCAATGGAGGATGGGTAGTATCTTGAGCGGGTTCTGATGTATTGGTAGCTATGGATACACCACATAATACATCAGAACTAGCTCAAGATACTACCCATCCTCCAATCTGAGTTGTAGTACTACATGTTTTCAGCTCCTTGTCCAATAGACAGTATTTGTAGAACAAATTAAGCTTTCCAAAGTGCATAAAAACTGTTTCCTATAGCAACCAGCCAGTATTTCACGTTCACTTTTATTCACATTCATTTTCTAATCTGATCAAGAAACGGGAAAGGTAAAAACTGGTTAATATGGGCAACACAGACTCCACCTCTTACAGACCCAAGTATATGGCCAGTTGTGTACAGTTGATACAACTGGAATAAATGATGTGACATTAGTGTGATTCCTCTCAGTTCTCTTTCCTTCAACTCCTTGGGGAAAATGTTTAAGGCTCATTTCACTGGGTAGTGTGACTTGTGTTATCGGGTTGTTTTCACTATAGTCCTTTTGCAATATCTGCACTGAAATGTAAACTTCATGTATTGAAGAATATACTTTGTGCAGGCAGTGTACAGTAATTCCCACACTAACTGCTTATGGATCTGTTTTTTCACCAGGATGATGTAGTGATCGAGGAGTACACAGAAGATTCTGAGCTGGACAGCAGTGGGGCAGAGCATGATTTCCGAGAACTTCGTGCCAAGAAGCAGGTGCTGGCAAGAAAACTAGAGGAGCGGAAACGCCGCCAGCAGAAGATTCAGGTATTGGATTGTGGACTAGAAATTGTGTGTAGCCGGTTTAGTCCTATTGTAAATAATATATTTTACTCCTTAGCACCTAGTCCTCAGTGCATGTGCCTTCAATTCTGAGTGCCCAGCTCCTGCATCATATTTGCACTAACCCCTTCGCACCTGGTCCTCTGTACATGCACATTAAGCCCAGTCCCTGTCATATGTGCAAAAAAACCCCAGTACCCAGTCCCCAGCAATGTGTGTTAACCTAATATAACACAAATACAAATATGTATCATAAAAGAAACATTCAACTTGCACATAATTACAGCAATCGACAACCTGCACTGTAAAAATTACACCTACATGTTTGAGTAAAGAAGATGATATGTACTTGCCTTTCCTGCCACCCACATTGCTTAACACTGCCCTGAAGTCTGATTGGGATTGTCGATCTCCAAGGTCCATGGCAGCTCCGGACTCTCCCTTTAACTTCCCATCACTGCAGAAGAGAATTGTGACATGAGATCATAGGGAGGAACCAGTGGGAGCTGCAGTGGACCCAGAAGATCGACAGCCCTTAAAGTGTCTTTTTTCTAGTGCACTTCTCTCAAGTTCTCTATAATGGAGCAACTTTGATCAGCGCAGGCGGCAAGAATGGTAAGTATGTAGACTCATCTGTACAGATATTCTTGGATCAGAAAAAAAAATGTATGTGGCGAGGGTTAACAATCAGGTCTCCCACTCCGCCAGACAGGGCCATGCTGTGTGGCAGAGCTGTGCTAATTTCAGAACTGGATGGGCAAAAATAGAAATCTTTTGGCAGGTATAACGGCTCTTATATGTATATCATCTGTGTGTTTAGCTGTTTACCTACAGTTTAGCTTTGACATTAAACATTCTGCTGCAAAAGCTGCGATGGGCTAATCCAAACACATGTAAATTATTGGTATAAAAAGCTCCCCCGCCTTTTTTATCTTCTTTTTTTTGTTTCCCTTAAACTGTTTGTGTCAGGATGCCATGTTGTCTGTTACATACCTGTGTGTGTTTCTGTGGTGACATCACTGGCGTCATGTATAAAGAGCAGGAAGGTAAACAGCAGCTGAGTAATATTACTGGTGCAGTTGGGTCCATTGTCTTTGTCTTTTTTCTTATTTATTTTTTTAGTTCAGTTTTTTTCAGTCACAAGACAGCAGACGCAAGTGTTTTGTGCTTCCAGGAATACATTGATATATATGAAATGCCAATGACAGCATACGCTTACCAGATAATGGGATAATTACCTTTGCAGATGTGGCCATGTTTATATTATCTGTTGAAAAGTGCCTTTTCCTTCTCCCTCATTAGATCATTTAAATTAGCCTTTTAGTGCAAAATGGAATTCCAGTACTAAAAACTAAACTCACTTGCTTTAAAAATCCTCATACTACAGCCCTCCTTTCACCTGGCCTCCAAGTCTTTATATATAGATCTATAGATATATATATCTATAGATCTATAGAGAGATATAGAGAGAGAGATATATATATATATATATATCTCTCTCTCTATATCTCTCTATAGATCTATATATGCCCCTCCCTTTTTACATTGTAAGCCCTCATGGGCAGGGCCCTCCTTACCATCTTGTCTTGAATTGTATTGTGATTGTAATGTCTTATATTGTAAAGCGCTGTGCAAACTGTTGGTGCTATATAAATCCTGTATTATTATAGTTATGTATATTCATTCTGCTGCATTGTGTAAAGCCATCATTGTAATCATTGAGAAACTATACGTTTTAGCATAGAAAAAAAAGCATAGTAGAACAATCCAGATTCTGGTTGAGTCAAAACGATTTTTGATTAGTCTACAAGATTATACTCAGTACCGTCTTCATGACCATAACAATAATACTGTAGTTTTAGCAGAAAAGGTATTTTCTGTGAAAAAAATAGTTCTTATGATGTTCCCCTGCCTCTAACAATCGCATATGTATTAAATAAATTAGCCGGTGTGTGGCCCACCTGCTTTGAAACTGAGCTTGTTAATGACTTCCTCTCATGAGATGGAAGTTAGTGCTGGGGAAAAAGGGCACTATGATGTACATTTTCAGGCACTAAGATCATCAGTAATGTCAGTACTTAAAAACAAAACAAAAAAAAAATCATAATTCTAAGACAGAACCTGTTAAAGTACACTTGTCTTAAAAAAAAAAAAAAAAAAAAAGAAACACCATTGCAAATAGTCCACATGCCAAAATGGTTCCATGTCCTTTTAGAAGTCTACAACAATGCTGTAGGACACTTGAATACCCAGGGTCTGCTACAATGCAAGCTAATGCTTCCTAGTAGCATGAATGCTGGCCCGTCCTCTCCCATACCTTACTGATGGCAAGAGGGTTACCCCATCATAGTGATGGGTCAAAAAGAGTGTTTAGGAAGGGGCAGGTCAGCCTCTAAAACTACCAGGCTTTGTCTGAGCTTGCAGATGAAAGCATTTCAGGATCCCATGGTACTACTGTAGACTTCTGAATCTATGAGGTGCCTTCACTTTTTGATTTATTTAAATGGGAGGCGTATCTTGGACATGAAAGTAGAACTTGCACCTACTGATGATGTCCTGTACACGGTGATTTGCCAATGAGTGGCTTTAGGCTGGGTTCACACCTAGGCGTACGGAATATGCGTGTTTGCCGTGCATTTCGTGCCGAGCGTTTTTACAGCGATTTGCGGTCAAAGAAAAGTGTGACAACCGCACGTTTCCGAGGGCTATCCAGCTGTATCCTAATGGATACACGCGGCAAATACGCCCCAAAGAAGCTCCTCTACTTCTTTGGGCGTTTTGCAGCACGTTCCTGCGCGCTATAAAACGCCCAGGTGGGAACCATGCCCATAGGCAATCATTGGTTTTCACATGTTGAGTGTTTTACAGCGCGTAGGAACGCGCTGTAAAATGCCCAGGTGTGAACCAGGCCTTAATCTTTTATGTACTTTTTTTCTTTCGGCTTCTCCCTGGTTATCATTTAGAATTTACAATCTAAAGATAGAGTTCTTTGTTTTGTTGTTCAATAGTGATGATTAGAACAGATTGCAAGAAGTAAAGTTTTACCATAGATTAAAAAAAAACTCTTAAACACATTTTCTTTTTGCTGGTTACTACCTAGACTACATCAGAGATTTATTTTATTTATTTTTTAGTTATGTATAAAAAATTTTCTTCTTCCTCCACTTTCAGTATGCATCCCTTTGCTTTGTCCTTGCAGCTTCTCCCACTTTATTTTAGTTGCCGTATGTGAACCCCCAGTAGACAGAAAAAAAAGCAGTAGTAAGCAAGTATTAAGCAGCAGTGTACAGCTTAACTCGGCACAGCCTCAGGAGACAAGCAGAGCGAGCATTAAGGGGGACTTTTGTTTTTTAATTTGTTTTGCCATGCTCGCATAACAGAACCACAAGTGTGAGACATTTTGAAAACAAGATACAAGTTTGTTTTGTTTGCTTCCATGCTGGATCCTTCACATTTCTACTACAAACGTATGTGCACATATCTGTACACTGGCTTCCCAAATTCATACCAGCAAAAAATTATAGTTTGTACACAAACATGTTATGTTTCCCAATAGATGCATCTAATCTTACTGAGGCTGTATGTGATAGTGGATGATCACAATTTTCTCTACTTTTGCCCTGTTAAAGTTCTGTGTGTGAGATTTCAGCACATTGTGAAAACTCTGTTGTATAGAGACAGCTTACACTCCTGTTTGTGCAGATGTGTATTCAGTGTTTTAACTGAGCTTACAAGGGAAAAGGCTTATGGTGTCCTGTTTTCCCAGATGAGCTACTAACTGATACCAAAGGGGAAGAGATATTTGTTCTCCATCTTCCTGCCCCCACCTCTGCCAGTGCCCAGGGCCCTACACAACCATAATTCTTCATTTTGTAGTCTTGAAACTTTGCCAGACACATCTGTCTCACCATATGCATGAACCTTGCAATCTGTGCCGAGCAACTTGTAATACAGCTCCGGTGAAAGCCCTTCTGGGACCCAACACACATGCGTACCCTTTAGCAATTGGCTGAATGCCCAGAGCCAGCCTGGTTACTCACCTTTCATACACCTAATTGAAGTATACTGAAACGAAGAGCCTGCTGGTCCACCTTGATAGTCCTAGAGCAGCTCCTAGCAATAGAAAAATAGTAGGTATACCTGTTTTGTTGAAGCTCATTGAATTCCACCGCCACGTCTGTACACGTTGATTTAGTATTTTGTAGACTGACTAATATTTTTACCTTTTTGCTTTTGTAAGACCCTAACAAGTAGTTGTAACTATAAACCATCCCATCATCATAGTCATTTATAGCATATGGCTTAATACACTGCTGAAATACAAGTATTGGGGACAGTTTTACCTGCTGAAGATTTTTATTTCTGTTCATCCATTTCTGAAATTTACTCAAATGCAGGACTGGTGACCTAACTTATGTGTGGTGCAAATAAGCAATACATCTGTCATCTCCCTGCCCCCAGCCTGTGAATGTACAATGAGGGAGGAGCAGCAGCAGCAGCAGCTCATCCCTCTGTGCTCTACTTCTGTCAGCATGCTCCTTGTCAGCCCATGAGCATCTGGTTCCTTATGCTGCCATCCCTTCTCCCAGACTGATTGCTGCTATATAGGGGAATACCTGAGACTGGTACTCAGTCAAATTTGGGTACTTAGAAATAAATGCATTTATTTTTTCACTAAAAAGAATATATTTTTAAATGCAGCTAATGTGCTCATATCTTTGTACAGCTTTATTGCAGAAGTAAGCTAGGTGGGGAAAAAATGGGCCCCAGATGATTTTAGCCATAATGTGCTAGTATGCACAGCGCATTGGCACTTAATGGCTGACTTACCTGCCATACCGGTCACCTCCCAGCCCTGTGCTCCTTCCTCTCCAGCTCTTCCATCATCGACTCAGTCCTCCTCTGGGTGTCAAATCTTTGGATGCTTGATTGGCTGCACCCCGATGACATAACTACGTAACACTCGCACGTGGGAGTTACTTCATCTCTGTATGCCGGGTCTGTGCATTGAGCTGTGTATGTGCGGCTCAGCTTACAGAAGAAAAAAATTGCAGAATGGTAAAAAGCTTTATATGGCAGTCTCTCCTGCCATAGAAGGCCAACCAATCTTCATTTTTTTAACCTTTATTTCCACTTTAAATCATATTGATCTCTAGAAAACTAGAAAATAAAGTGTTTTATATATCTGTGCTATCCATCTTTTCATTAAAGAGCCATAGTTGCTCCACATTGTTGGGAATTGTGTAATTAAAGGAGAACTATGAGGCGAGTGAAAATCACTCAGCCTCCTAGTTCTAGCCGACCTGTGACAATGACACTGTCACACGTCGGCTCAATACATCGGGAAGTGAGTGAACACATTGTCGCTCGCTCACTTCTCGATCCTGTCCCTGCAGAGAGCCGTGACTGTCACGGCTCTCTGCAGCGATTCCCCCCCTCCCCCTGTCCGATCCTTTAGCGCTCACTGGCGGAACGGACGGGGGAGGTGGCGGGTACAGCTGGGTCATGCTTCTAGATATGCAGAGCCAGCTGTCACTCGCGTAGCTGGGTGGATCCAGACAGTAATGTCGGGATTCGTCCCGGCTGCGGCGTCTCTGTATACCATGAGCTGTAGCTCGCGGTATACTGAGCTTTGGGTGACGGGAAGACGCTAGTTTGTGTCCTCCCGTTACCCTTAGGAGAACTATGGGGAAAAGCCCTGACCCCATAGTTCTCCTTTAAGCAATAATTAATCAAATGTGATTCATTTTGAGAAGATTTTGTCTTCAAATTCCTCTGGTTGCGCAGCACTGGTATGTTAAGATCTATCTTTTCCTTAGAAAAACAAGGCACATGCTACTTATTTTGTTGAGATCTTTCAAAAAAGGTGCAGGAAGTGGTCATTCGCACATCAGTTTTGTGTCGGTGGCTAAGGCCATAGATTTTGATTGTTTGTGGGTACCCATACAGTCTTCCAGATTATGTCTCTCCTAAAGGAGAATTATAGGCAGAATGAAATAGACTCATCCCCATAATTAGAGCCGAGGTGTGATACTGAAGTTATCACATGTCGGCTCTATTGATCGAGAATTGAGCAATTGCATACCGCTGATTGCTCAGTTCCCAATCTTCTCCCTGCAAAGAGCAGTGACGGTCAGTCATCCCCCCTCCTCTCTCCATTCCTCCAGTGCTGACTGAAGGAACAGACGGGGAGCCACCTGTCAATCAGGGATCCGTCCTGGCTGCAGAGCGGCTCTGTGCTGTCGGCATATAGTGGGCAATAGCCCGCTATATGCTGAGTTTTGGGTCACAGTAGGACATTACTATATGTCCTCCAGTGACCCTAAACAGAACTTTGGAAAAGAAAGGTTGGGCCACAGCTCTCTTTTAATGGAGTTGAACTGCCCTTTGTGACCCTTCAAGTCTAGACACAACTTGGAGTATGTGCTTTTTGTTTCCCCTAGGCCACAAACAATGTAAAATTTCATTAGTGGCCAACAGTAATCTTCAGAGTGTTTTAACTGATTACAGTTGTAAAAGTAATTTAGCAGCATATTTTTGTCTTGTGAAAATACTTTGTAATAAATTTTAGGCACCCGAGATGTGACAATACGATATCCACTCTCTTTCTGGGGAAAAAAAAGATATGATGACCACATAGATGCTTGTGATCTGTGTGTTTTATAAAATTGAAGTGCATTCTTCCTTTTAGTAAGAGCATGTGTTCTTGGAAATGGCAATGATACAGAACTGTCATTTTCACAGGGCAGAACTAGCTGCCGGTAGTACAGGATACTGTATACTTATGAACCTGTGGAGTAGGAAGTCCTGGGCTATTTATAACACAATACCCTGCAGGAGGAGAAATGCCACAGACTTCCCGACTGCCCTGCTACCCTGTGACTGCACTGCTTCCCTTTACCACCCGCCGTCCAAACTCTGTTCCTACAGCTCCTTGTTCTTGGCTCGGGATGAGGTGACCTCGGTGTTGGTCTGTGCATCCTGCAGAGGGGACGTGCAGACAGTCACAGCCTGTTCAAAGACGCCCCAGAGCTCCAACGTTTTAGAGTGGAAAGGGTTTGATTGTATTACCACCCCCTCCCTTGATTGTAGATATTACTGAATTTGCTTACAAGTTGCTACGTAGCAACCAATCAAGCCAAATGGCCCGAATAAAAATGTGGTTTCAGACTTTTTTTTTCAGCATCAGTGTCACATAAGTGTCATTTTGTAACTACTTGGGTCTCATATGACCCCTGTTTAAAGAAAAAGGTAACAAATTGCCCATATGTACCGAAAGGGTTAATCAGCGTCTTCAGGCAGTCAGCGATTTCTAATCTACAAGGGATTTATTGAATGTTTCAGCTGAGTTGTGTTATTTCCTGCCAAAGAGCGAATTGTCTCACTGTGCAGCTGACTAGATATTAGCTATGTACCAGTGTTAAAAGAGTTTTAAGATGAATAAAAAATACAATGCAGTAATAAAACAGTATATATCAGTGTCTCTTTAATGCTATGGTCACATGAGCACCATGCATATTTTGCTGCAAATTTTCACAATGGTTTTGCAATAAACCCTCATTGTAATATCCACAGCATGCTAAAACAGCACATATTTTGTTGCCATGGGAGATGGGGGCCATGTGTCTGCTGGGTAACTGTGAAGCATATACTATAAATAGCGCCTTGGGCATCCTTCCGCTACAGGTTCCACACTCCAACTAGCCATTGCAGAAATTCTACTTCAATAGCTACGATTTTCCCTTGTCTGTAAAATGTCTTGATTAGAAACATGGTCTCTGCTGCCTAAAGATTTTTCATCTCCAGTGCAGGTACTTCTAAGATTCTCAGTGAAAAAAATGAAAATTCTTCATGAAATCAAGATACTGCTGCATTTCACAAATGACATGCCAAGTGCACATAACATTAAATTATGAAATATAAGTAGAGATACTTGAATACTCTTATCTTTCTGAGAATGTCCAATTGGCCTAGAAGCTTTCGTATTTAGTATCTTAGCCAATCAGACTTTTGCATTGTTTTATTGTTTTTGTCCTATATTATGTTCTAGAAAAGACCCCTTATTTCTTAACCAAATATTAATAACTGGAGCATATTTTGCCTAAATATACTGTATCTGTTAATGGTTTTCCCTTTTGTAGGCTGTACTGGATGGGAAGACCAGACCCCTGGAGTTGGAAATCCGCCCCTTGTTTCTTATTCCGGATACCAATGGCTTCATCAACCATCTTCCAGGCCTGGAGCAGTTGCTTTCATCACAGATTTACATTTTAGTCATACCCCTAATAGGTAAGAAATGGTAACAGCCCTACCAAGCAACGTGTAGTTGTTGATGCACTTTAGAGCCTCTAAGTTTGAAGTGTACCTGTTGCTTAGAATAAATGTAGACAGCTGTTTTATTGGCTTGGCCAGTGCTTTGGAGACAGAGAATATATACAGGCTGATCTATTCAAAGTCCAACTCCAGGCAAAACATTTTTAGTTTTGGACAGGAGGGGGAAGGGATAGAACAGGCTTTTATTGCAGTCTGTGTCCCCGTTACAGAGTTTCTCTTTGCTTTCTGTTGAGACAGGAAGCGACAGGAAATCTCTTCGGTGGGTACAATAAAATAAAATGTGAAACACGTAGAACCTCTGTCAGGTTATTATTGCTGTCTGTAGCTTAGTGTGCTGATGATACCTGTTAACCTAATTTCTTGCGCGGCCATCAGGAGGACGGGATATGAAATCTGCTCAACAAGGACACCTTCTCCAACAACCGCTAGCTTATCCAACACTATTAAAAAAAAAAATGTTTTGGTTGGAGTTGGTCTTTATTGTATTTGCTTAAAATGCTTAATAGTACACTCGTAAAAGATCTGGTGTCAGTGCAGAATGTAAAGGTTGTCATGCCCCAGGGGGCTTGTTCTTAGGATTGTTGTATAGCATATAGGGGTAAAAAGGACTGCATATGGTGGATCAGTTGGATCATCCAACATATGAACATATGAACGTAGGATGAGAAAGTTTGAAACATTTCCATTTGATTTCCCATTGGCCTTCAGATATACAAAGCATGGAACAGTTGCAGCATCTACACTCTTGTAGGATAGCATGCGTGACTATCAAGAGAGGGAGAACATCGGTTGGTTCATTTCCCAGTATCCAGCAACAACCACCACCTTATGTCTATGGGCAAATCACATTTAAGTTGCTTAGGTTTTTTGGCAGAGTTCTGTACTTTTTAGTAGTGTTACCAGCAGTTTGTTATACAGAATTGTCCTATTTCATAGCTGTTGATCATTCTTACATTTCTTCATTTTTATTTTGTTTTAATATTGTATTTGAATTCTCAGAAACACTCATGATTGCCAATAATGTAATGAATGTAATCAGTAATGATCTGAATCTGTGAAATTATTTTTTCCCCGGCAATTATATATCCCAGCCTTATTTGCAAGGCTGTAAACATTTGTTCACATTAGTCCCCATTTCCTGAAGGAAACATACATACACATACACTTAGCCATTGCCTTGTTTTATGCAGTGATCTGAAACCAAGGAGCCATTTTTGTAGGAATTTGCTACATTAAAGTAGATGGATATTTGGACATAGATTTAGACCCACAGCTGTATATAGAAAAATATATTTTTGTATGGCTTGCATTGTTAAGCTTGAAAGGCTTCTTAATTCTTTCAGCCTATGAAGCATGTTTGTGGTTAAATATTGGGTGAGTGTTTGGGCTTAGCCACCACTGGCTCTCCGCTGGTTATAGCTGCCTGTGCTTGACTGCACTTTGGCTACAGTTGCGATGCTGTGCAGCTCTCTGGCTGGGCTGGGTACAGAGTCACACAGCTGAGTGAGCAGCTGCTGGAACACACGTCCCCGTCACGGCTTTTTCTCCATATAAAGCCAGCGGTACACTCTCTGACTGGTTCCAGTTATTGCTAAACACTCGCCCCTGGCACAAGAACTGGTGTTACTGGGTGGTCTGGCCGACTCCCTGGATTTGGGAGTTTTTTTCTCTGACCGGGAGAAGAAGCCCTGTGGCGTATCTGGTGTATTTGGGTGGGTTTAATAAGAAATGGAACATGCTTTCTTCCCTGTGGGGGTATGAGCATGTATTATAAGCTCCTTCCTGTAATACAAATACTACTGTGTCCATCTGTTCATATGCCTGGCATATAGATGAGAAATATCTACAGTGATCCTGCATGGAAGCCTAGCCATGTTTACATATGAAAGCTGTACAGTGGGCAGTCATATTATGATGAGAAGTAATTGTGTACACTTGTGTCGCTCATTGAAAATGGAATTTGTGGCCTTGTCAAAATACTACTGAATGATCGATATAACAATGTTGAAGAAAGTATGGGAGCTAGACACTGTATATGTTTTTCCATTAATGTGTACTTTGCTCATGTCTTGTTTAGAGGCTACTCTGGTCTCTTGTGCGGCTGTGGTGTTTGCCGGTTACTTTGGGAGAGATAGTGGGGTAGCCTGTGACAGAGTGTGGGAGGAAACTCTGAACCATCATCTGACCGTTCTGAGCATCAAGCTCTTCCCCAGTCAGATCTCCTAACTACTCTGTAGACTGAGTGGGTGGAGCCTAAAGTAAACCCATTTAGGGCAGAGTAACAAGTTCTGACCATTTAGGGCAGAGTAACAAGTAAGAGTAATACAATTAAATGGCTAGTAAAAAAGGGGTAAACGGTAAAACTCAACAGAGAAAAGATCTCCATCCTCCTAGGACACTAGAAAAAGACAAAAGCATGCGGTGAGTGGGAGGGGTTATACCTGTTTTCATTTTCAACATTTCAGCGCTGAAGGGGGCCTGTTATGCAGCAAACTTATTGACTGTGCCTTCCAGCTAAGCATGGGGGCTGCTAAACACCACTGTTACTCCCCTTTTTGGGGGTTTCTGTGGCAAGCGTTAATGGGCTGAGGAGTTAAGGGCATGCACGCCCCACTCTGTAGTTGTTTAGCGTGATGTAGCTTGATCTCAGCATTTATATAGGACTAAAGATCTGCTTCCAATGTGATGATGCTTGTGTCTGTGATTGGCTATTCATGCGCAGGACACTGCACTGTGGGAGGAAGGCGTGAGAGTAGCATGTTTCTCTATATCCAAAAGTGGGATTTTCTGGAGGGTACAGTCGGCATATATGGAGAGCAAATACCAGTATCAGAGAGGGCCTGCTATGCAGCATACCTGAGAGGGCAAAGTACAGGTTTGCTTTATTAGTTACTCATGGGGCAACTTAAATAATACAGAGGATGGCTTAATATCACCCCTACTAAATATTATAAGACCTTCAAAATAAAGTGAAGGGCCTATTTTCTACCTGCTTGTCTCACAGAATGTTGTTTCAATCAAAACTGCTGACACATGCTATGTGATGGTGTCTAGCTAACCTCTGCATATCTTGCCACTAGGAATTAAAGAGTACCAGTCACTGTATGATAACAGGGAAAGTCACTATTGTTGTTTTTGAACTGTAAAAGTTAGGCCTCTTACTCTTATGGCTTACATATTACAAAGTTTAGGTTTACCGAGAGCTCTGTGATGATACTACTACTACTACAGATTCGCCTGGAGAGCTAGTGAAAAGAGATGGAACTGAAGGTAGACACCCGGAGGCCAAGATAGAAACTATAAACATAGTGATTAATTTCACATCTCCTTTTTCCCTATAACGCCTCTCATCTCTTCCTCCTACTTCACAGGAACGCTCCAGTGCCAGTTACACCTTCTCTCAGTCTAACCTAGACCATAGGAACATGCCTGTGAGGCAGGGTGTGACTTATATTTTTCATACTTTAAAAATATACCTGGTCTAGCTTTACCCTTTACTACCTTGTTCCTTGGCAGCATTGTGTAGTGGCAAAGACATATCATAGACAAAAAAGGGGCTGACCAGCCAGGTATAACCCCTCCCTCTCCCAGCATGCTTTTGTCTTTTTCTAGTGTCCTAGGAGTATGGACATCTTTTCTATGTTGAGTTTAACCGTTTACCCCTTTTTTACTGGCCATTTAATTGTATTTTGGGTTTTTTCAAGATGTTTGTCTTCAATTAAGATGTCATCTACATGCTGTGCTTTCTATGCAGCTATCCAGATTGGATTAATCCTCAGCGTTGCCTTGGAGGCCATACCCAAACCCCGCTCGACCGAAGATTGCGGGATTTGCCTGGAATGTGCTCTTTGGGTGCTGGGCTCTGCCTGTGGTGCTTCCCAAACTTTTGGGTACTGTGTTAATCAACTGCACAGTGCTTTCCAGGGCCAGAGCTGCAGCACAGCTCTGATGTTACCCAGTCCCTGAAGACTTAATGAATGTGCCTTCCAGCTAAGCATGGTGGCTGTTAAACACCGCTGTTACTCCCCTTTTTTGGGGTTTCTGTGGCAAGCGTTAACGGGCTGAGGAATCAAGGGCATGCATGCCCCACTCTGAAGTTGTTTAGCGTGATGTAGCTTTTCCTCACCATTTCTCCTATCTACACGACACGTGATTCACACCCCGGTTAGTCCTTACTGCCACCTACAGTGACCTGGCCACCTCCTGCAAGTAAACCTCTCCTTAAGCTGCTGGTTGTGAGTAATCCAAGGCTTTTCCTGGTGTGCGCTATTAAGTTGTTCCTGTCAAATAATACAACATGTCGGATCCCAAACACAAGGGGAGCAGTCCTGCAGCATCAGCTCACTTCAGATCACAATCCACTAACAGTTCTGGGGCGGCCTGCAGTGTCCCTACCAAGGGACCTGAAACGATGGCCTGAATCATTCTCCCCTGCATGAGTCAAGTCACTGCCCAGTCTTCCATAGCTCTGTCAGTTGCCTCCTCGGCCTTATCCACATTGCTAGACTTGCAACTTTGTTTACCAACTTTAAACACATAGGCTGTAAGTGTAGTTCTACACCTTAACCTCCAGAATCCTTGTGTGATGTCCCTGCAGTTGTAGCAACCTCTGTGTCATCTGCTGTGGATGTACTGTCTGAAGAAGGTTCTCATGGATCCTTGTTAGATGACAGTGTTCCCGAGCGGCCTAAGTCTGTGGGGGCAGTTCCCAAACTGAAATATACCTTATTGGCTCTTATCGATGCTGAGTGAGTCACATTTGAAAAATGGAAACAAATGGAACAGCCTGTAGTTTTTACTAATGCTCCCACCAGTCTGGGATGCCTAAAAGGCTTCTAGGGTCAAAACGTTTCCAGTACACTCCTTACTTCAGTCTGTACTGAAGGGAGACTGGAGTACTCCTGACAAGTTTTTTTTAGTTTTTTTTTTTTTTACTCCATCCAAATGCTTTACAGACCAGTATCCGTTTCATGAGGATTTTCTTAAGAAGTGGGCTGTTCCCACTGTGGATCCGGTGATATTTCGTATCAACAAAATGCTGACTGTTCCTATTGAGGATGATGCCACTGATAAACATTTGAGAATCCCTTATTTTCACTAGCAGACTGAACCTCCTATGCAACCTGCCGATGTCATTCTGTAAGACATTTAGGCAATGGACTGATGTCAAAGGATCCAGCTACAGTCCTCACAGACCCTTTAGTTTTAGAGTACTTAGAGCTTTTGCCTTCAGCCCTACGTTATTGTGTTGACCATCTAGTTCATATGATCTGTTTTATCTCCCAAATGTGCACATGACTTTTTTGATGGTGAACATCTTTTTGATACTTTGCTGGACAACTGCAAAGGACATTACTTATGGTGCGAGTACTCAATTGCCCCAGCAAAAGTAACCTAAGCCTCAACCTGGCAAGTCTTCTCCTGCCTCCGAAGCCAGAAAAAGGTTGTTTATTTTCTCCCAGGCTTCGTACATCCATGTTTAAGCCTAACAACTGTGAATTTTGGGGCTCTTCATATTGTCGAATCCACCATAGGCTTGTCTCCAGATGCAGATATCCTCTGACAGAAGCAGTGAATGCTCTGGCGATTTCACAGGATCAGTACAGCCTCCTATACCCCATTCCCCCTATGAAACCTCTTCCTTGTCTACTCAACATAATCAAGATGGAGGGCATGCCAGTAATCCTCATAGCTCAGGACTGGCCCAGGACAATGTGGTACTTTATCTTGATCAGGTTTCTGGTAGATACACTATGGGCTCTTCTCAGCTCCTCTGGTGGCTTTATTTATTAAAAACCACTTGAAGACCCGGGTGTTAAACCTCCCTTCCAGGACAGGCCATTTTCGGTATTCAGCACTATGGTACTTTGACTGACATTTATTCCGTCATTCAGCGCTATACTGAAATAAAATTTATACCATTTTTTGGGGAAAGATATTTTATTTAATCACCACTGGGGTTTTTATTTTTTACTATATAACAAAAAGTACCAAATATTTTTTTTATAAACAGTGTCCCTATGAAATGTTATGAAACGTATATTATCATATTGGTAAAATATAAAAGATGGGGTCACGTCGGGTAAATACACTAAACATGTCAAGCCTTAAAATTGTGTGCGCCTAGAAATCGCAAAAAAAAAACGACCATACCAAAAATTCACCATAGGTGATGCTTTAAAAGCTTTTACCGCTCATCAGTTTAGTGTTATCAGTTTAGTGTTATCAGTGATTGAGGGCCCTACAAGTATTTCTCTCACTCCGACGTTCGCAGTGACATCAGTAACATGTGCGACACAATGGACACTATCGTCGTTTTCGCACGAAGGCGCACCCAGTGCATGTTTGCATGTGGAGGTGGGGGACTTGGGTTTTTTTTGTTTGTTTTTTTATGCTGGTTTCATTTTTTTAAAACTTATTTTTGCTTTAGTTTATCCTTGGTACACTGTTAGTATTTGCTCATGAAGATTAAAGATACTGGCTTGTTTTGGTACAGCTCTAGGACATATGAAATGGTAGATTTTAAGAGGCGTTCATATTTATGTAATCACTCTGTTTTGCATGTGTTTTTATGATTTCCATTTTTCTCTGTCCTCTGATACCTGTGTACATTTTTGACATTTCTCTGTTTTGCAGTAATCCATGAGCTGGACGGGCTTGCCAAGGGACAGGAATTTGATCAGCGCAGTGCCGGACACACTCGCTCACTTCAGGAGAAAGCCAAGAAAGCCATCCACTTTCTAGAGCAGAGGTTTGAGGCTCGAGATCCTAATCTGCGAGCACTTACAAGCCGTGGCAATCAGCTGGAGTCTATCGCCTTTCGCAGCGAGGATATTTCTGGGCAAAAGGTGCAATCTTTGTTAGAACAGTCCCTAGCCACATAAGCTTACGGTCAGTTGTCCCTACCAATGTAATACACTAATATTCATATTGTAGAGCCAAAGTGCAGGAAATCCAGTTAGCTGTCCACTACATCTTTGGATTGGGTAGGAGCTTTGAGGAAATGTATTCAACCAAGAGCACAAAATACCAACTTTGTGCATATTATGTCCATGGAAGGAATTGAACAGAAGACACTAACACTGAACACCCCCTCTCCTTTTGAGATAAGTTGTCAGGATGATATATGTAGAAATGTTTATTTGACCATAGGTACAGTGGCTTAGTGGGTAATGCTTTGCAGCAGTGAGCTCCTTGGTTCAGTTCCTCCAGCAAGGAGACAAGATTCTGCATGGAGTTTGTATTCTCTGCCCATGTCTGCACAGACTTTATCAATGTTCCTCCCACAACCTTCTGTTTCCTCCCACAACCATGAAACAATAGTAAGGTATTTGCCTAGTACTAAATAATGCCTAGGTGTGTGCATTAGTGACAGTGAGAGGAACATTACATTGTAAGATTCATTATGCTGTTGATTTAAAAATGAATGCAATACATTTTAGAAGCTTTTTATTTCACCTAATTTTCATCTAATTGTTTTTCAGGGCAACAACGATGACCTGATCTTGTCCTGTTGTTTGCAATACTGCAAGGACAATGCAAAAGAATTCATGCCATCAAATAAAGGTAAATTCTCAATGGCCATAATTCAGAAACCTCCAAATATGATTTGTTTTTTTTGGCACCTAAGAAAGTGATATAAACACCTTAAGTTGTGCCACTTAATCCTTGTCCTGTTGTGGCAGATTATAGTGACATCATGGGCTGCCCAAGGACATCTGTCATAGGATTAACCTGCCACAGCTGTCTTTGTTGTTTATATGAGAGATTCTGGCCTAGGACTGACAAGTGCTGGCCTCTGGTTTGTAACACAGTGGATGGTTACCAGTGTCAGACAGTGACAGGCTTCCCCCTCCTCTTCACAGTCCTCCTCCGCTCCCACGTTTCTCTTCTGTGAGAACTTACTGCTAAGCTGTTGCACATTTCCTTTAGCTGCTGCTATTGTGTTATCCCACCACCAAGTCTGGTACCTCTTATGTCCTGTTTAACTTTCCTCTCCTCTTCAGTTTTCATCTTGCTCTCTGTCCTCTCTTTTCAGATGATCCAATACGCCTGAGAAGAGAAGTTGTCCTGCTAACTGATGACCGTAACCTCCGAGTCAAGGCCCTGACCAGGCACGTCCCAGTGCGAGACATCCCTGCGTTTCTCAAGTGGGCCAAAGTAGGGTGAAGTAGCCACATGTCAGAAAGGAAGGAATCCTTGTGTGCAAGAAAAAGAAAACAAAGAGAAGAATATCCAGTGTGTGACCCATTGGGGCAAGAAGTCGATACAGTCAGTCCTGATCTAACCATTCAATGCCCTGTGTCAAAGCACACAAACGCTCCCCCAGATTCCAGCCTGCCATCTGAAATAAACTAGAGCAAAAGTAAATGTTCTCCTCTTGCACCCTCAGCGGGAGCTTGCTGTAGTTTCCGATGGATGGGGGTGTACGGATAGGAGTGTTAATGTACGTTGGGTCTGATTTGATCAGCAAGGGTGCAGAGTCTTTATAGGCTAGTAGTGGCAGCTTTGACCATTTTTCTTTTCTCCTGTTGGTGGCACAGGTCCCCTTCTCTAGCTTTATTCTTTGTGCACTAGTGATGCCTATGACATTTTACAGGCCTCACTGGTATTGGCGACTCTAGTTCTTTTTTTTTTCCTCAGAGGCTGGCTAGCGAACTGGTTGTTTTTTTTTCATTTTATTTTTACTGTACTTTTAGTTTCTTTTTACTTTTCTGCTGTTTTTATTCCTTTAAGATAGAAAAATGGTTTGCAAGATATTTTATAGCCCAGTCTTTTCACATCAAAGGCATCCTTGCAAAAGTTTAGACAGAAGGTCAGCCATGTGTCCCAATTTATCTCCTGTTTACCACACATCCTGTGTTTTTTCTTTAAGTTTTGATGCTGTTACAGCATCTTTTTTTTTTGCCCTTTTATTCGTTCTTTGTTTTATCCCTTCTTTTTTTTGTAGTCGCTAGCCTCTGTGTTTGGGGAGGTGTATAGGTGCGGCCACTAATAAATTCAGACGTGAAGCATGATCTTGTTCCATGAAGTGTACAACAATGCTCTTCCATTGCTTGACCGATCTTCATGGATATACACACCAGGTTACACAGATGTTCTCGGCAGGTTTCCCTGGCAGCCAAAACTCGCAGCAGTTTCTGTCATTCCCAGCCAAGACCTGACATCTGAAAATCCTAAAAGTCTTCTGTAGGTCCTGATGTCATCCTTTTCCCTAATACTTTATAAGATCAGTCTCTAGAGATGCAGGCAGAAATCAACCACATGGTCCTGGCTACGTTCTTCTTGGCGTGGACCGTTTGCTCCATTTAACCCTTTTTATCTAAGGGGGCCAGCCGCACAGATCTTTAGCGAAAAGAATAGGCCTTGATATGGGAACTGGCTACATCCTCTGGTGCAAAGACTATAGGAATGTTGTTTTGCTGCGCTGAAATGTGATCAGGTGCCAAGCTGGCTTTTGGAAAAGCCTGCGAGTATAAATGCGGATGGGTGGGATTGTGTACTAGTGGATAGGAACTAGTAGCACTGGTCTTTTCTACAGTACTTGCAGTGCTGATGAAAGGAGAGAATCACCATGGAGTGAGGGTGATATATTATTTTATGTTGTGATTTTTGTTTGGAGCTTAGTTGTCCCTGTGTGTAAATAATTTTATTGAAATTGTTTTAAAGGTGATGGGAAAAGCAGTGTGTTTTTGTGGCTAGATGTCCTTGTGGTTCAGTGTTCCTCGCTTGTACAGGCCATGTCTTTTCTCCAGAGCGAAGCAAACCTTCTGTCAGGAGTATAGCACATTTTCCATGCACGACAAATAGGACATACAATCTTGTTTGCACACCTTTATCAATAGACCATTAGACGGCATATCTTTTCATACATCTTGTGGTGGTCTACTGAAAATTGACATATACGTTTTAGATGGATGCTGGTGGGGTAAAACAACTCATGGCTACTTTTGTCCTTCGTTGTAGACTTTAGCAGTGAGGTCTGCTCACTGGAGTTCCTAGCTCTGCTAATGCCCAAACCAAACACATTTGTCCCACTTCTGCTGCAGCATTCGTAAAGTAGGCAATCCAGTGGCATTACACCTAAGAAGTAATGGCCTGAGTTATGTGCATAGTGTCAAAACTGAGGTGCAAAAGCCTTAACATTGGAGCACCAGAAAGAGATGAGTAGTCATTGAGCGATTCTACCTGTCTGCGTCCACGTAGAACTAAAAACATCTGTTTCTGGTGGACCTATTCTGTAGGATTTATTCAATAATGGGGTGCAAATGTAGTAGCCCATTTCTAAGGGCTGCCAGTAATACACTAGACTGATGAAAGGTCATTGATAAAGGTTACTGCACACAATTTGTGCTTCATTATTAATGAAAACAATAGTCTCCTGGTAAGGAGTCCAGATTTTTGGACTGGTGATTAGAGTCCTGCAGTATGACCCATAGTAGGTAATATCCAGAAAGCTTCTTGTTTGTTCTGACAGTCCTGCTCCATTAATCCAATATAACTGGTTGGGTTGTTTTGCTACTGTTGTAAAACTTGTGGGTTCTTTTTTTTTTTTTCGAAATGTTCTGTCGTGTTCCTCAACACCCGTGTAGCATGATTGTTTTGCTTATGTGTGTATACTATTTTTTACATTACATAATGTGTTTTTTCTTTTTGCCTGGGAAGGAATATTTGTCATGTGCTATTTTTAAACATTGTGTTGGATGACAAAAAGCTCTTAATAAACATTTTAAAAAATGCAGCCAGTGTGTTTATTGTTCTGCAGAATTATTTTCCCTTCATTAACTGTAACCCATTATTTTCATGGGGATGGCGAACTATTACTGTGTTTTGTATCATCTTCCGATTCGGTGCAGAAGTGTTGGATTTAAACAAGCACAGAACATCGGGTGCCATTTCAAGTCTAACGAGCAGTTTTCATATTGTTTCAGCTATACAGGTTTATTAGGCTTGTTCAATGTGGTAGTGATTATGTGCCATGGGTGCTACTCTACATAAACCATTTACGATAGTTGCATAGTTAGCCAGGTTGAAAAAAAGACAAGTCCATCCAGTTCAACCTATAGAGATCTAGATTTTGGCTTGCTATAGTTGCACCAATGAAAGATTTACTAATTGGTTGCTTTGGGGTTTTTTTAACTGCCCAAGTTCATACTTACAATAGATCTCTTGCAGGTCTGTGTCTAGGGCAGAGGAGACTACATATACAATTTGAGTATACTTTCTATATTTTAGATGTTTAGTCTTGTCCTTATTGGACACCATTTATTGCACGTGGCTAGATCTAGCAGTGAAACCAAAGAAAAGCATTCGGAGACTGGTGGGAGAAGTCACAAGACTGTAATTGATATTACATTTACTCATCTCCTTCACTGAGGGGTTTCTTAAAGTGGACCTATTGGGAACTTAAAGTCTAATTCCAGAATTGAATGCTCCTCACAGCCATTTAAAAAAAAAAATCTGTACACTTCCCTCTTTTCCTGCAGTCTTCTGGCCAGTCCAATGATGTCCCTTGGTCCTCTTCCTTTTTTTCTTATGGTGGCAGTGGATTGTCTTGCATGCTGCAGAAAACTTTGCTACGTAGTGATGTCCTCAATTAATTATCCTATAAACCCAGGGCAGGTTGGTGACACAACACCAGGGGATACCCTGGGCTCATAGGAAATAGGTTGAATGATGCTGGGCGATATTGAGTTGGAAAACGACCAGTGCCGGATCACAAAATACACTGAGGGGAATTTATCAATACTGGAGCAGATAAAATATGGAGCAGTTGCCCATGGCAACCAATCGGCTTCTCTCCAGTTCAGTTAAGATTTGAAAATGAAAGAGAGAAGCTGATTGGTTGCCGTGCACAGCTGCTCCAGATTTTGTCTGCGCTAGTTTTGATTAATTCCCCTCACTGTATTTAAAGGGTGAGTACTGCTCGGCAAATTGTCCTCTCTCCCCTCTACAGGAGGGGAGAGGACAATTTAATTTTAAAAAATAGATGGACATGGACTTTAACAAGTCTGTATGTATACATACTTGACATGTCAAAATATAAAGCAATAATATAATTTTCAAACAAAGCAGGCTTTGAGTTCCAGTCAAGTGAATTTTGCCTTGGTATGGTCAGTTTACTGCCCGAAGATGTTTCCTTTCCACCAGTGATCACTGATTATTACATTATTTTTTCAACAAGGTGACTGTTCTATGTCAGATTTTTGTGAACATGAGCAAGAACTGCACAGGCACCAGGATTACCATAGCTATGTCACCTCTGAGGCAACATCTCAGTCCAGGAAGTAGATGCTGATGCATGATAATGACTAAGCAGTGTTGCAACCTATTGGAGAGAAAGGTAGATTAAGTCAATGCAGGCGGGAGCAATTCAAGAGCTATATATCTATAGTAATGGAGCAATGCAAGAGTTGTATCCGAATATAGGTATGTACTCATTCCTGTTCTGATTTCTAAGCTGTGCCGTTAGAAATCAGCTGTATGTTACCTCCAAGAGCATGTTTGCTTTTTAATCCTAGGTATTACAATAATTTTGTGACAAAAGGGGTGGGGACCTTAATAACATGACATCATTCTGCATTGCACAGGGCAACAAACAAGAGAGCATTTCCCAGCATCAGTTGAAAATCAAAAAAGCATGCCAACTGTTAAACTTGACCTATATCCAGCAGACTCGCCTACTTGCTAATCCAGGGCCACTTCTCTTGTAGGTTAAATGGCAGCTAGCATCAACCCACTTCCAACATCAAGGGTCTGCCCTGACTTTGATCTACCCACTGCTGGAGGAAGAAGGAGGGTCAAACAAGCAGGGGGATCCTGAGCCTGGAAATGGGCTTTAAATATGGCCTTGACACTGCTCTTCTCACCTCACCATTGGCCACATCAAATGCTATAGCCAATAAATTATATGGTAATGTGCAAAAGCTAAACTTGACCCTGCTCCTCCCAGATTGGTCAGTTGGAGCACCATTCACATTTAAGTACCAATAAGAAGTCTTGGGAGGTGTAAGGGGTTTTTAAAAACAGTCTGCGTACAAAAGCATTTAGCGGGAAAATGGTACCAGCCTCCCTGTATTGGAAAAGATCTTTGGACCTGTTTTTCCATCTAATAAGATAGTGAAATAATCCACTTTGGTTTAAATAACCTGCCTTGGTCCTTGGTGTGTTTGAAGGCACCCATTGTTAAATGTTCAAATTCTGATCATGGCTGTGGGCTAACCGGGCAAAGTTGTGTGTGACAGTACGAGGATCATGTAGACGTTCCACCACACACCTGACTGATATATTCCCTTCTGTTTGCGAGTGCTGTAGTAACTTGGGAATAGCACAGCATGAATGCACGCAAAAGATACGTGTCACTAGCACACCATTGGTCTTCACCCAAAATGTTTAAATCCACATATAAATTGTTAGGATATCTCCTCCCAGTGGGGGCTAAAGACAGAAAAAAAGCCTGAGCTTTCCCCACTCTAACCTTTCCCCACCCTAACCTTTCCCCACCCTATCAAAAACTGGAAAAAAGTTGGCTGAACTTTTACTTTAATATGAGCACTGCGGGACTATAACAGAGAGCATATAAATACTTATATCAGAGTGACAGGAACAAGGAGAACCCACTAAATCTCTCTGAAAATAGTTGAAGTATTTTCT